TCCTTCCACAACCTGGCGCAGCTGCCGCCGTCCTACGAGCTCGCCATGAAACCCGAGATCAGCCGCTACAGCTCCCTAAAGAAGCTGGGTGAGTTTAGAGGGGGAGAGAAAGTTCAAATGCAGGGGAAGGGGGAGAGAACAAGGGAAGCAAAGAAGGAGATGAGGAGGGGGAGACGGTGGGACTAATTGATTTTTTTAAGACCGCTGAGGGGTTTTATGTGACTTCCCTCTCCTCCAGAAAACCTCCCATGAACTCTGTTTTGTCCCCACGCTCAACACTTTTAGAAAGTCGCCGCTATCATTGTGGATTTCTGACAGACTCAACAGGTCCAGGTAAAGAAAAGTGTTGAAAATTCTCAATATAGTGTACACCTACATTGGCGTTCTTTTGTGGGTAATTTTTTCTTAAAACGATGTGGTGCCCCGTGTGAAGCTCTGTAGAGCCCAGCTCTGACCGGTCTCTCCGTACAGGAAGAATGATCGACATGTTCCACATAAATATATCATAAAGTCTGTCCTGTGTAAATGTGTCTCTGAGTCCTGACTGTCTACAATGAGGAGAAGCTCGAGTCCCGCTGGCTGTGTTGTTGTCAGAGCCGTGTTTACATGGACGGGACGGCCTCCTCCCCTTGTGTATAAAAGCTGTTTTAGTCAAGAACTAGAGAGAAGAAGAAGAACATACTCACTGATTATTTGGATGTTAGTAAGAGTTTTTAGATCACGCTCATTCTGTGTCAGTTTACATGAAATGTGAAGCTACGAGCTAACTAAAGAGCGCTAACATTAGCATGCTAACACAATGACTGCAGCTCGAGCTGAGGATAATTTTGTCCGCTGCTTGGTCTTAACTCCTTCATGTGAACGTGAGTGTAGAGGGGTTGCAGGTGTGTCTCTGGAGGAGAGCGGAGGCTTCAGTATGGAGGAGGCGTGGCCTAACTGCAGTTTGTTTTGGTTTCATGCTGGTGCTCAAGGGCGACATCAAAAAAGTAGCACACTTCAACAAGAGGTGTCGAGACAAAGACCGAGTTAGAGTTCTACATCACGTCCTCGTGCTGCATCAGACGCCGTTTATGTTTATGTTTACATTAACCCTCGCCGTGACGCTGTTAACGCCTGATTCTGGAGATTATTTTAAGGTTCGCATGAAAACAGAGAGTGGAGATCAGGCAGGCTGTCATGATTCTGTTAGAGAGGTCGACATCGTGCCCAGAGGTCGGCCTCACACTCTCCCTGCGCTGATCAATAACACATACCACGCCCACGCCACCGGATCTGTGGCGCTGCACACGTCTCTGCCAACTGAAGTATGAGCCAGTTCCTCCCACCAGACTTTCTCTCTCCAGGTATTTCTCTCCTTCTGCGGCCCCGGTGCGTTCCTCTCTCTCACAGCCGGCGCTCTCCAGTGAACCTCCGCCGCGGCAGCAGGAGATTTCTGTGACTCAGCTGCCGGAGCGGGAGAACGAGCCGAACGTGTGAACGCTTTCTGCGAAACACTCGAGACGACAAAGTAAACAAAAGAGAGACAGAAAGAGGGGGGATGATCGGGAGGCGAGGAGGACGCAAGGCCCCGTGTCCACCTGGCGTCACCTCGCTTTGACTTGGTTATGCGTCCGCTCCGAGTGCTTAAGTTGAAAATCTTTCAACTTTTTAGAAAGGCGCTGTTGACGTTGTTGAGCTCCCAGGAAAATAGAGAGAGAGAGGGAGAGAGAGGGAGGGCGAGAAAGAGGGCGAGAGAGAAAGATATAGGGAGAGAGAGAGGGAGAGAGAGGAGAGAAAGAGGGAGAGAGGGCGAGAGAGAGGGAGAGAGAGAGGGAGAGAGAGAGAGGGCGAGAGAGAGGGGCGAGAGAGAGAGGGAGAGAGAGAGGGCGAGAGAGAGAGGGAGAGAGAGAGAGGGGAGAGAGAGAGGGAGAGAGAGGGAGAGAGAGACAGAGGGAGAGAGAGAGAGGGCAAGAGAGAGAGAGAGGGAGAGAGAGAGGGCGAGAGAGAGGGAGAGAGAGAGGTGGTATTGGGATCTGGTTGATAACGATGGACTTTGTCTTAAACAGAAAACAAACTCTCTCTCTCGTTCCTCGCTCGTCCTAAAAGTGAATCTGGAGCTGAGAGCCAGAATGCCATGAAGGCCTCTGAGGGTGTTTGTGTCTTTAATGTTCAAGAAAGATGTAAGACGTATTTCAGACTGTGACCAAAAAATCATAAAATCAGACGAGAAATGAAGATGTTAAACGACAGAACAAAGGAAAACGTAAACAAAAGAACTGAATCTGGAAAATGTAGTCGCTGAATTCATCGAGAAAAAGGAACAAATGAAAGACGAGTCAGCCGACGTGTTGAGAGAGCGAGAGGAGGTGCAGAGAAAATGAGGTGATTAAAGAGAAGAGAGGATGAGTGGAAGAAAAGGGTCTAGAGAGACAGAGAGAGAGAGGATGTGGAGAGATGTGGCGTTGGGGGAGGGGCGTTGGCTGCTGGTCTGCAGGGGCCGGGCTTCTGCGACGGGGAGAAAGAAAAAAAAAGCGATTGAGAGGCAGCGGCTGGCTCCCCCTCTCTCTCTCTCTGTCTGTCTTTACCTCGCGCGCCTGCGTTTGTTGAAGACTGCAGGGGGAGGGGAGTCGCCTCTGCAGCCGAGTGATGGATGGTGTGTGTGTGTGTGTGTGTGTGTGTGTGTGTGTGTGTGTGTGTGTGTGTGTGTGTGTGTGTGTGTGTCTGTGTGTGTGTCTGTGTTTAAGTGGAAGCAGTAATGAGGTGAAAAGTCCAGATTGAGGCTCCTTTTATTATTTTGGATTGAATCAAAAAGAAAGAAGCACTTTGACACTGAAACGGCGTCCGCTAATCCTGACACGTCCCTCGTCCTCGTCCTCCCTTCATCTTCTCATTCATAAAAAATAATTTCCGTCTCGTTCATCGCAGCGTGTTTGTAGATCTTAAACTGACCTCATCGTGGTCACCTTAAAGATAAATAAGAGAGAGAGAGAGGGGAATGACAGACTCGAACCCGGACCGCCCGCTTCAAGAACAACAGCCTCTGTATCTGTGTGTGAGGCAACATTATCACATAGCACAGGGGCCGTTTGGTAACCAGGGTGATGGGGGAGGAGCTCCCAGGAGACATCGTGAACATAGGGCGAGATAATTTAAACAAAGGTTTTCTCCGTCCAGCTGATCAGTTAAACGCTTTCTCACGGAGAAGTGGGGGGAAGGGGCGAGAGACGGGGGGAGAGAGAGAGTGCCATTTCAAGCCACCATATTTACGCCCCTGTTACCCCCCTCTGACCCGTCTTCAGGGGTAGTGACGAGGAGAGAGACAAAGAAAACCTTGACAGTAAGAAGAAGAAGCAGGAGAGGAAAGGAGGGAGGAGAGGAGAGGAGAGGAGGAAAGGAGAGGAGGAGGGGAGGGGAGAGGATAAGGGAGGAGAGGAGAGGAAAGGAGAGGAGGAGGGAGGAGAGGAGGAGAGGAGAGATGAGGAGAGGAGAGGAGGAGGGAGGAGGGGAGGAGAGGAGAGGAGAGGAGAGGAGAAGAGGAGGAGAGGAGAGGAGAGAGAGGAGGGAGAGGAGAGAGAGAGGAGAGGAGGAGGGAGAGGTTTGGTTTTCAAAATACCTTTTATTTTACCACTACCAGGAGAAAATTATAACACTGTCACATCATCACTCAGATCAAGAGAAGGAAATAAATAAATAAATAAAATAAAACATAAAACAAAACAAGTGCAACAAAAATCACAACATCAACAAAACAACATTTACTGCATCAAAAATGAATAATCAGCTCTCCATCCCCACCCACAGAGCACAAAGCTTCTTCCACAGCCCATACACTATTAAAGTCTTGCACATTGTCCATCATTTGATAATAGGCAAATTCTACCTTTAGTCTGGCCTTCAAAAGTCCCTCCAGAACCAGCACCGGTTCCACACAGCCAGTACCCTGAGCTCGGTTCTTGCGTGTAAGCCAAATGGCCAACTTAGCCGAGCCAGATAAAAAGTTCATCAGTGTATGTACAGTCTTTTTCTTTGCAGAATACTTTGGCCCAAAAACAAACACTGCATAAGAGAAATCCTCCCCGAGAGCTTCAAACAAGCTTTTCATAAGGACAAACAAGAGTGAGAGCCTGGGACACTCAACAAACAGATGAGACAAAGTTTCAGTTAGTGAACAAAACAAACACTCCTCTCCCACCCCTGGATCAATGTGCGCTCTGTATCTGTTCGTGGCTATAACCCCATGCACAACTCTCCACTGGAGATCTGCTGTTCTCTTCTCAACAGGCAGCTTGTACAGGGACCGCCAGCTGCCTTTCGGGGAAACCTCCGGGCCAAAAAACTCGATCCACCTCGACTCTTTCACTCCCGACAGACCACGAAGATGTAGGACCTTAACACAGGACTGATAGAGTGCCTTTTTCCCTGCATCCTGGAACTTTCCCAGAACAGGAGTACTAAAGGACAGCAGTCCACCTCCTCTTTCCTGCCACTCCCCGACATCTGGGGTAACAGACAAAGATGGGAAGCTGTATTCGCCCTCTTCACTCCACTGCTCACACAGATTCTCAATGTTTAGAAATGTCACAAGTTTTACTGGAAGTGCAGCAAAGACTTCCTCCACCACTCTTTCAACCACCCGGCTGGAGGTGATATTGGTCCTTTCTTTGAGGGCGTCCAGGGTCAGTCTTACCAGGTGACCCAGTTTTGTGCAGCCTGCCTCTCTGAAACTGGCCCGGAGACTGGCTGACTGCAAAGTTGGAGTCCTTATGAAATCATTAAAAAATAACGGTTCCTCAAAGATCCACATTCCCAGACTCTCAGTTTTTTCCCTTTTGAATGTGTACATTTTCCATGCCTGCATTACAGACATATAAAAGGATGTTAATCCAGTGAGATCCACCTCCTCAAGCTTTAACAGAAAGAGCTGCTTAGTGTACCCCAGCCGTCCAGCTCTCCTCAGCAGCAGTCGAGCGATGTCCATCCAGCTGGGACCACAAGTGAAAAGGAGTCTCTGTGCAGTCTGGAGTCTGAATGAGGCAATTTTTGACTGAATGTCTATAAGTCCATGTCCCCCTTCAGCCACCGGCAGGTAGAGGACTGCCGCCTGGACCCAGTGTTTGCCTGACCAGAAGAAGTCCAGGATGGCCCTTTGAATGTCCTCCACCAGCCCTCTTGGAGGTGTCAAAGCCACAAGTCTGTGCCAGAGAGTCGAGGCAACCAAGTTATTGACCACCAGAACTCTTCCCCTATACGACAACTGGGGTAGCAACCATTTCCATTTAGACAACCGAGCGCACACTTTCTCCCTAACTCCCTCCCAGTTTTTACTTTTAAAGCCCTCGGTACCCAAATAAACCCCCAACACCTTCAACCCTCCCTCCCCCACTCAAGTCCACCCGGCAGACTGGGCACTGCCTGGTCCCTCCACTCTCCCACCAATAAGGCACCACTTTTTTCCCAGTTCACCCGTGCAGCTGTTGCCCTTTCATACAGGGACAGGGTGTCCCGCAGACACCGAACGTCCCCCTGATTGGAGATGAAGATGTTTACATCATCAGCATAGGCAGAAATTGTAGGGGGACATTCAATGCTACAGGCCGCGGGCAAAGAAAGCCCGCTGAGCCGGCCCTCAACCTGCACAGCAAGGGCTCAATAGCCAAGCTGTACAGCTGGCCGGAGATGGGACAACCTTGTCTGATCCCTCGCCGTACAGGGATTGGCCGACTCAACCCCGCCCCCATCTTCACCAAACACTGTGCATCCTGATACAACAAACCAACTAATGACACAAAACCATCCCCAAAACCAAAAGACCTCAGTGCAGAAAACAAATACGAGTGATCCACCCTGTCAAACGCCTTCTCTTGATCCAGAGACACAATGCCAACATTTAGATTATAGATTTTACACACATCAATGACATCTCTGATAAGAAAAACATTATCCATGATTGTCCGGTCTGGAACACAGTAACTCTGGTCTTTATGGACCACACTTCCCAGAACGTCCTTTAGTCTGTTCGATAAAGCTCTGGAGAGGATCTTGTAGTCCGCACAAAGCAAAGCAACCGGCCTCCAGTTTTTTAACAATGCCAGGTCACCTTTCTTGGGGAGCAAGGAAAGAACTGCTCTCTTACAAGAACCAGGAAGAGACCCGGTCCTGCAACACTCCATTAAAACACTATGCAGGTCAGACCCAAGAATATTCCAGAACCTCTTAAAAAAGTCTGTGGACAACCCATCTATTCCAGGTGCTCTTCCTGTTGCCATCTGAGTGACAGCAGCAGTGAGCTCCTCCAGAGACAGCTCCCCTTCCAGAAGAGACCTCTCCTCCACACTGAGCTGAGGGAGACCCTCCAGGAGCTCCCTGCGACACTCCTGGCTGCAACTCTCTGCTCCAAACAGATCCTCATAGAACTGCATGGCGTGACTGCTCATTTCCTTTGGATCAGCTGTTATTCGACCTCCTGGCAGTTTCAGACAAGTCAGCAGCTTTTTTTGAGCCACAGATCTCTCAAGATTGAAAAAGAAAGACGTTGGGGCATCCATGTCTTTGAGTTGAAGGAAACGACTCCGCACAAGAGCTCCCTTCACCCTCTCCTGCAGGAAAGAGCTCAACTCCATACGTTTCTCCTTCAGCAGGGTACCAGCGGTGGGATCCACACTCCCATTTAACCCCTCCTCAAGGTTCTTAATGTTGTCCTCAAGATTTTTAATGACTGTTTTTAATCTAGCAGAAGAGTGTGACGTGTACTGCTGACAAAAAACACGAATCTGAGCTTTACCAACCTCCCACCAAAGCTTCAAAGAATCAAACTCAACTTTTCTTAATTGCCACTGATCCCAAAAACACCCAAAGTTTTTACAGAAAACATTGTCCAGTAGAAGCTTGTTATTAAAATGCCAGAAGGACTTAGCCCTTTCACCTGGTGAAATAATCAGCTCCACACTAACAAAATGGTGATCAGTGAAGCCGACAGGCAGAATATTAAAATGAATTAATCTGAGAGTTCTGGAGATGTAAACCCTGTCCAGTCTAGCTGCACACACCCTGTTACTGTTAACCCTGACCCATGTATACTGTCTGGATTGTGGATGTTTCACTCTAAATGTGTCCAACAAATCCAGGTGAGAGATGACAGTTTTTAAAGTCTGGGATGAATGTGGATGTGGCTCCTCTCCTATTCTATCCACGGTGAAATCAAGTGTGCAGTTAAAATCACCACCAAGAATGATCTGATCCTGATTATAGATCAGTAACTCCTTTTGGAGGCGGGTATAGAAAGCTACCCTTTCAGCTCCATTATTTGGAGCATAAATATTAGTGAAGCAGAAAACAGTGTCCTCTATTTCTGCTCTTACAATTAAAAGCCTTCCCTTTACAATTTCAGCACAAGAGACGATCTTTACATTTGCAGATGCTCTAAACAAAATGGCTACTCCTGCACTAAAGTTGGTGCCATGGCTAAGGTAGTTAGAGCCCTCCCACCATAAACCCCAATCTGTCTCATCTGATGGTGTGGTATGAGTCTCTTGTAAAAACAAGATATCAATGTTTTTCTGAGTTGAGATCTCAGAGATAAGGCCCCTTTTCTGTCTGTCTCTCCCACCATTAATGTTAAGAGATCCTATCTTAAGACTCCTCATAGAAAGATCAGAGAGAAAGAACAGATAAGTAGACACAAACAGGGAACAGTAGAAGAAGAAAAACACCTTGTGATGCATGATCATTTCTTTGTCTTCTTCACACTCTTACCTCCAGTTTTCCTCAGTGCGGTGATGTGCTTTTTTAGACGGAAACGTTTTTTCTCAACCTGTCTTTTCAGTATGCTGACTGACTTCATGAACTTCTCAGCCGCGGACGCGGCCCCCGCCCCGGGCGCGGACGCGGCCCCGCCACATGCGCCATACTAACAGAGCTGCCCGCGTCAGCGGCAGTACTAGCCGCCTCCTGCTGTCTGTGCGGACACGCAAAACGTTTGTGTCCCACATCACCACACTTAAAACACTTCAGTTGTCCCGAGCTCGCATACACCATATAAGAAGCGTCACCGTGTTTCACTCTAAAGGAAACCTCCAGAGTCTGTGTGGGCGACTCCAAAAACATGAACACCTGACGCCGCAAAGATTGGACATGTTTCAGTTTGGGATCTTTACACCCTAGACTCACAGTTTTGAAAACATTCGCAAACTTCCCAAACCTGCGGAGTTCGTTCTCTAACAAGTCGTTAGAAATAAACGGCGGAACACCGGATACGGTGATCCGCGTAGAGGGAACCGACAATGGGGAAACCTGCACAAACAAATCCCTAATGAACACACCACTCTCAATCAGCTGATACACAAGAGGCTGACTCTTCAGAAAGACAACCACAGCCTTGTTCATTCGGGATGCATACAAAAGTTTATCATGGCCTACCTGTTCACCTGCAGCTAACAAAACCTCCTCCACGGTGACAGTACCGTTCGGAGGGACTATCCGAACTCCCTGTCGGAGAGTCGGAGGTGGCGTCTCAGCAGACGCCATTCCTCCCTCCAACCCCTCCAACGATCTGTCTTATACAGCCAACAACACTCAATATAAATATGAAAACAATCTGACCTGATCATGCACTTTGAAAACAGTAGAAAGGATAGCAAACAATTCAATCTCCGCGCCACTCGCAACACCACCACCGTCACTCACACTCACATTCACCGGAAACGGAAACGGAGAGGAGAGGAGAGGAGAGGAGAGGAGAGGAGAGGAGTGGAGAGGAAGAGGAGGGGGAGTGAAGAGGAGGGGAGTGGAGAGGAAGAGGAGGGGAGTGGAGAGGAAGAGAGGGGAGTGGAGAGGAAGAGGAGGGGAGTGGAGAGGAAGAGGAGGGGGAGTGGAGAGGAAGAGGAGGGGGAGTGGACGATCCAACATATTTTTAATGAAACAGCAAAGCTGTAGCTTCAGTGTTTATCCAGCTCTGCATGGGTCTGTAAACCTTTCTGTGTTCTAACCTCTCTCCATTTTTCTAAAGCATCTCCAATATTGATCCTAGTTTGAGCACGTTTCTGCTCGTGGAGCTTATTAGAAACATGCAGAGGCTTTTTAGGTCGGGTACAATCACTTCTATCTGAACCACTTCTCTTGACCGCTTCCAAAACGGTTGTTCTTTGTAGCAGTTTCTCTTGAAACACTTTGAAGTGGGGATTGAAAAGAAGAAGAAACCCAAGAGCAGGACTCAGTACGGGATAAAAGTCCACACAGGCAAACCGGGTTAAAGGGATCAGGCAAATCCAAAAATACGAGCTGGGTCAAAAACTAGATCAAGAAATAAAGTATGAAACACAAAAACAATAAGGAAGAGGGCTGCTGAGAGTAAAGTGTTTAATGTGCAGGGAGCCAATCAGGGTGAGGAGAAGCTACAGGCAGATAGGTGGGAGGGGCTAACTGATTTATACTGGACCTAATGGGAGAGCAAATCTAACACAACGTTTTCTTTAGAGGCGGCTGTGGCTTAGTGGTAGAGTCGGATGTGGCTGCAGATTGCACATGTATAGAAACCTAAAAACAACATGTCCCCCCCCCCTCCAGGTGAGCGTCCTGACCACACTGGAGAGACGCTTCAACCTCCAGAGCGCCGATGTGGGCGTCATCGCCAGCAGCTTTGAAATTGGCAACCTGGCCCTCATCCTGTTCGTCAGCTATTTCGGCGCCAAGGCCCACAGGCCGCGCCTGATTGGCTGCGGAGGGATCGTCATGGCGTTGGGGGCCCTGCTGTCGGCCCTGCCGGAGTTCCTGACTCATCAATACGAGTACGAGGCCGGGGACTCGTGGCATGCCGAGGACGGCAGGGACGTCTGCTCGAACATCACGCGGTCAGAGAACAGAGACTCGGGCTTTAAATGTGGAAACAGAGCCAACACCAACATGATGTACCTGCTGCTGATTGGAGCTCAGGTCCTGCTGGGCATCGGAGCCACGCCCGTCCAGCCTCTGGGCGTGTCCTACATCGACGACCACGTGCACAGGAAGGACTCCTCGCTCTATATAGGTAAGAGCATTCATCATCTGGCTTTAGAGAAGCGTTGTTTTCTACTTCCTGTGTGACGGTTGATTTCCTGTTAGAGCTCGCTCGACAGCTGATTCTATATTTCTATTCTACTCAAAGTGAGTCGCTGCTGAAGGCGAAACCTTTATTCCTTTAGGTCAGTGCTTTGTTTAATTTGTCATGTAAAAAATACATGATGCAAACATAAACATAATGAAGCTGTGTATTTCCTGCTCAGCCTGACAAGAAGTTAAAATGTGCTCGACCCTGAAATGTTCTGTGTGTGTGAAAAGGCGATCAGTCCTTAATATCTGTACTTTCTAAGGTGCTTAAAGGAATTGTTCCTTTCAGTAATAGGATCAGAAACAGTTTGACCCCTTGTGTATGGCGGGGGGGGGGGCAGCATCAGCTTCTGTATTTACTAACTGTTTGAACATGTTTCTAACCATGTGCAGTCTGAAGCAGCCGCTGAGGAAGCTGATGTTTTTATGTTTTTATGTTTTTATGTTTTTATGTTTTTTTATGTTTTTATGTTTTTATGTTTTTTTATGTTTTTATGTTTTTATGTTTTTTATGTTTTTATGTTTTTTTTATGTTTTTATGTTTTTTATGTTTTTATGTTTTTTTATGTTTTTATGTTTTTATGTTTTTAATGTTTTATGTTTTTATGTTTTTATGCTTTTTATGTTTTTATGTTTTTTATGTTTTTATGTTTTTATTTTTATTTATGTTTTTATGTTTTTTATGTTTTTAATGTTTTTATGTTTTTATGTTTTTATGTTTTTTATGTTTTTATGTTTTCATGACCACGTCTTGACCTGATTGTGACCCTGCTGACCTGCACGGTATAAATCTGTCACTGTGTTGTGACCTCTGTCAGGGGTCACTGACACCACAGCTGACCTCTGAGATGTGCACACTCACATTAGATGATCCGTCCCGTTGGTTTGGCTCGTGTGTGGTTAGGCATAGTGATGTCATATCAGTCGATATCGATAATTATCACCATAATTGTCATTCGTTATTTCTTTCAAATGTAAAAGCTGATTTTTGCTCCTGAGTGAAAGTTGAAGAAAGCAGATTGATTATGTTTTAGTCTTTATTACCAGAACATGAAGAATTATAATGAAACATTTCAGCATCCTGAGCTCAGAGCACTGAAACGCTGATAAGACAGTTTGTTACACTCACTGACCTGCTGGGGTCCACACACCATGCAGACACTCTTTATATTATTTACTATACGGTCCACACTAACACTCCTTTATGACATTTGAACGTTGATTTCCTTCAGTGGGTTTTAACGGGTCAGATTGTTGGGGAAAGTGAGTGTTAACAGTTTTAGCTGCACTTCTCTTTGGCACAGTTTACGGAGAACTTCACTGTTTTTTATGTTGGACTGTAAAGAGTCAAAATGTCTCTAAACTCAGGAAGTTAAGCGACCTTTCTTGTCGTCTTGTCGAGGATATTCTCTCCTGCTTTGAGCCGGTAGGTTCAGCTTTCCTTCAGCTAACGCTAATTTCGGCTGTTTCCATTCGGCTCCGAGCGGCCAGGTCTGAATCATAATGAATCCAGGTGAGTGGAGGTGCTCATGTGTCAGAGAGAAGCATCGGTTTGGAGTTCAGGTGAAGACAAATAGAATGAAAACACATCAGACCATCACCACTTCACATAGTGGATCTGACTGAGACCTGAAGACAGAACATCAGCTGTTTAAAGGACGGTGATAATGAGAAAACAGCATTACAGCCGTCATCTCCTGACTTGTATAAAACACGTTTTGTTATGAATGATTCACTGATATCAAAGTTAACAGACTTCTCTCAGTGGACGACTTATTAAAGTATAAACAAACACTGGTCCTCTCAGTTCACACAGAAGAGAAGATGTTGAACCTTGAGAGCCTTTTTGTCTTATTCTGAAACCTTTTAATCAGCTAACATTTGTCCAGTTGCTCTGAATCTGAAGCGTCTCGTCCTCTTGTTGGCCCTGCTCGTGTTTCAGACCTCTCTGCAGTTTGTTCTCTACATGCTTTGATCTGTACAGTCTCTGCCAGCAGCACTCAGAGGAGAGGAGACAAGGAGGGAGGGAGGAGAGGAAGGAGAGAGGGAGGAGGAGGAGAGGAGACAAGGAGGGAGGGAGGGAGGAATAGAGGAGAAGAGGAAGGAGAGTGTGAGGGAGGGAGGGAGGAAGGAGGAGGGGAGGAGACAAGGAGTGAGGGAGGGAGTGAGGGAGGGAGGAGGAGAGGAAGGAGAGAGGGAGGGAGGAGAGCAGACAAGGAGGGAGGAGGAGGAGAGGAAGGAGAGAGGGAGGGAGGAGGAGAGGAGACAAAGAGGGAGGGATGGAGGGAGGAGGAGAGGAAGGAGAGAGGGAGGGAGGAGAGAGGAGGGCAAACAAGGCGAGCTCAGCACCCCCCCTGCCTGGCTCCAGGCCGGCACCCAGCAGCTGTCTAATGCTTCACCTCGAGAAGAGGAAAGAGAACATGATGTACAGGTCCCACTGAGTCTGTTTACATGGAGGATCTCTTTTTGTGTTTGTTCATGTAAACATTTTGTAAGCCCTTATCGCGGTTTAAGAAACCAGATGTTTCTACCTGGAGAAGTGTGAAAGGAAACGTGTTCCTGTGTCTCACGCTGCTTTCTGACAGCTGACGACCACCTGACCAGGCGCCACCTCAGCAGAGTGCACATCAGCAAAACAAATATGGCGGTGGCATTGAGAGCTGTTCTGTCTTTTAAGTGATGAATTATTTACATATTGTAGATATTTAGACCTTTTTTAATCTGCGGTGAACAGTTTACAGGACGCCGAATCAAACAAAAGACCAGTGTTGTAAAAAATAAACATCACAGGCGCAGTGATCATAAAGCAGGATATGAGTATCGATCACGTCTACAGAGAGATGAAAAACCAGGTTTCTCTGAACATGAAGATGATCAGAACCTGATCTAACTGCAGTTTTCTTTCTCTGTTTTCTGTCCCGACTCGTCCATTAGGGACTCTTTGTGTCATCCCTCTGACACCATTCTTCTCTTCTCTACACCTCCCCCTCTCTCTGTTCTCCATTTTTTCACTATCCAGGCATATTGATCGCCATGGTTACCTCCTACAATGTGACTGCTGGGTCGTCTGTTGTGCCTCTGTGATGCATGGAGTCTTTACAGAGTGCTGTATCTCCAGATGTTCACTAAAGGATAAAGTGTGTTTACTTTGAACCCTTACAGCAGCAGTTAGATCATTAAAGTGTAATGAAACCAGTTGTAAACATGAAAACAGGGGCACAGGTGTGCGTCTGGGGTCGAGACCTCCGCGGGTTCTCGGTCCCACAGGCGTGCATCTGGGTTTGAGACCTCTGCGGGTTCTCGGTCCCACAGCAACTGTGTCGTGCTTCACTGTGTTGTGCTTTACTGTGTTGTGCTTTACTGTGTTGTGCTTCACTGTGTTGTGTTTCACTGTGTTGTGCTTCACTGTGTTGTGTTTCACTGTGTTTGTGTTTCACTGTGTTGTGCTTCACTGTGTTGTGTTTCACTGTGTTTGTGTTTCACTGTGTTGTGCTTCACTGTGTTGTGTTTCACTGTGTTTGTGTTTCACTGTGTTGTGCTTCACTGTGTTGTGTTTCACTGTGTTTGTGTTTCACTGTGTTGTGCTTCACTGTGTTGTGTTTCACTGTGTTGTGTTTCACTGTGTTGTGCTTCACTGTGTTGTGATTCACTGTGTTGTGTTTCACTGTGTTGTGTTTCACTGTGTTGTGTGTTGTGTTTCACTGTGTTGTGTTTCACTGTGTTGTGCTTCTCTGTGTTGTGCTTCACTGTGTTGTGTTTCACTGTGTTTTGTGTTGTGTTTCACTGTGTTGTGTTGCACTGTGTTGTGTTTCACTGTGTTGCTGTTGTGTTTCACTGTGTTGTGTTTCACTGTGTTGTGCTTCACTGTGTTGTGTTTCATTGTGTGTGTGTGTGTGTGTGTTTCACTGTGTTGTGTTTCACTGTGTGTGTGTGTGTGTTTCACTGTCTTGTGTTTCACTGTGTTGTGTTTTACTGTGTGTTGTGTTTCACTGTGTTGTGTTTCACTGTGTTGTGTGTTGTGTTTCACTGTGTTGTGTTTCACTGTGTTGTGCTTCACTGTGTTGTGTTTCACTGTGTGTGTGTGTGTGTGTGTGTGTGTGTGTTTCACTGTGTGTGTGTGTGTGTGTGTGTGTGTTTCACTGTGTTGTGTTTCACTGTGTTTTGTTTCACTGTGTTGTGTTTCACTGTGTTGTGTTTCACTGGGCTGTGTTTCACTGTGTTGTGATTCACTGTGTTGTATTTCACTGTGTTTTGATTCACTGTGTTGTGCTTCATTGTGTTGTGTTTCACTGTGTTGTGCTTCATTGTGTTGTGTTTCACTGTGTTGTGTGTCACTGCGTTGTGTGTCACTGCGTTTTGTTTCACTGTGTTGTGTGTCACTGCGTTGTGTGTCACTGTGTTGTGTTTCACTGTGTTGTGATTCACTGTGTTGTATTTCACTGTGTTTTGATTCACTGTGTTGTGCTTCACTGTGTTGTGCTTCACTGTGTTGTGTTTCACTGTGTTGTGATCCACTGTGTTGTATTTCACTGTGTTTTGATTCACTGTGTTGTGTTTCACTGTGTTGTGCTTCACTGTGTTGTGCTTCACTGTGTTGTGTTTCACTGTGTTGTGTTTCACTGTGTTGTGCTTTACTGTGTTGTATTTCAGTGTGTGCTTCACTGTGTTGTGTTTCACTGTGTTGTGTTTCACTGTGTTGTGCTTCACTGTGTTGTATTTCAGTGTGTGCTTCACTGTGTTGTGTTTTACTGTGTTGTGTTTCACTGTGTTGTGCTTCACTGTGTTGTGTTTCACTGTGTTGTGTTTCACTGTGTTGTGATCCACTGTGTTGTATTTCACTGTGTTTTGATTCACTGTGTTGTGTTTCACTGTGTTGTGTTTCACTGTGTTGTGATCCACTGTGTTGTATTTCACTGTGTTTTGATTCACTGTGTTGTGTTT